GAGGAGGGAGGGTGAAGGAACCACGTGCGTGAGTTGGAGGGAGGGTGAACTTGCTTGAGTTCAAGCGAGTTCGGTCGATGGAGGAAGAGAAAAAGAGGTGGGCGCCGCTTAGCTCTGCATTTAGGTTTAGGGTTCTGGGGGAGGGGGGGAGGCATTATAATGGCCCTTTTATATGGGGGGTGAGAGTGGACTGTACCCGTTGGATGGAGAGGGATTGAATGGTCGAGATCGATCCGTCCAAAACGACGTCGTTCGCACTTAGTTGTGAGACTGGACCGGGTGAGGGGTTGGGCCTGGCGGAATTCAGGTGGTTGTTTGGGCCAAATTGTTTTGGCCCAGATTTAAACCCAACGAATTTCCTTCTCTTTTCTTTTTCTTGATTTTGAATTCTAATTGATTAATTAAAACCTAAATTAAGTCTTAAATTAATCTAATTTGTAGAAATAAACCTAGTTAGCTATTTTACCATAATTAATTAATTTAGACTAATGAAGGAAAAATTACTTAATTTGCAATTAAAAGCTAAAAATTCAAAAATGACCCATATTTTGTGATTTTCTGTTTAATAATGCAATTAACTTATGTAATTAAATCCTAAGTGCAATTAAGTCCTAAAATGTTATGCATGAAATACTTTAGATATTTTGGTATTTTCTCATGATTTAAAAATGTTAAATATGCAAATAAATGCAAGCAACAATTAACCAAAAATCCCTACAAATTCTGTAAAACCTAAAACAATTAAGAAACTCTCTATTTGTGAATTTTTGTAGGAATATTTTAGTCGGGCAAAAATCATGTGCTCACAATGATTATTAATAAATATAATACAATTAATTATATGACTATTTCTAAATATTAGAAAAATAATTTAATATGACTATTTTATCCAATGTGAACTCTAATTTTAAAGGGTAAAAAAGGCGAACGACATTTCGCTAAGGCGAATGCACATAGTCTTATGATACGTGCTTGGCGCGTGTATAATATCTCAGTAATTTTTTTATAAATAATATATTAAATATCATGTTTGATTTATAAAATAAAAGTTAATATTCCCTAAAATGACGAATCTTCATAGAAGTTCTCAATCATCAGTCAATATATTTAACTTAAAATTTATTTCAGTTTTATGATTCAATCACTTTAAATTCATAAGTTATCATGCTTCTTTTCCAATTTCAGCAATCACATATAATTCTTGAAAACTTAAGAGTTTTTCTGATTTTTTTTTTAAAAGTTATTCACAAGTTCATTTTAGAAGACTCAAACATGATTAACAAATTGATAATAATAATAATTTTTTTCAAGAGCAAAATTGTAGAATCATTGTTATTAACTTTCACCAATAAATTATTTTTCTCTTTCTCTCGTTATATTATTAGTATTTCTTCTAATTATTGAGTATATTTTTAAAATTTATACAAAAAAATGATAAATAATAATATATTATTTGAATAAAAAGTAATACAAATATAATATAGAAATATATATTGTATTCATATATATATAGTTCACATCCTTGAAAATATGATTTGAAAAGATTTTTAAAGCCTAAAACTAATGATAACACAAATTACGTTTCTATTACTTATCGTTTCTATGTAACTCAATTCATAGAAAAATCTCTGAACAATGACGTCATATTTTGTTAACGTAATATATTTATGTATTAGGACTTAAATATTAAGACTTCTCACCTAGTACCTAGTTTAAAAAGGAAAGATTTAATAATCAATTTTGAGTTGATTTCAAAGTCCTAATATTTAGAATCCTAAATTTTGAAAAGTGAATATTTCAAAAAAGAAAAAATTTAATACACAAAATATAGTTGGTTTAAAACTCCTAAATATTAGGAAAAAGTATAAATGACTATTTTGTCTAATGTGAAAACATATTTTAAAGGGTAAAAAAAGCGAATGACATTTCGGTGAATGCATTCGTGGTTTTAATATAGTATAAATATTAAACTTTCATTAGTTCCTCTATATGAATGGAAAAAATAACATTCTTAACCCTGTATGTCAAATCCTTTAAGTGGACTAGGAAACAGTAAATTACACTTAATGGCCTAAAAAATGGATGGTATTGATATTTTGACCCTCACTTGGCAAACTTTTAACGGCAAAGGGCCAAATATACTCCATTTGCTTTTGAAAATGGTCTAAGAATACCCCTCATTATACTATTGAGCTATATATACCCTTCCCGTCATACTTTGAAACAAATATACCCTTATTTTGGATGGAGTGCCACGTGTCAGCGTCAAATGAAATCGACCCATTTTTTTTTACCCGATTCGTTTTAAAAAACCCACAACCCGACCCATTTTAAAATTCAGATTTTTAAAGCATATATTTTGTAAAAATTGGAATTTATTTTTGTAAAAACTGAAAAAAGGAATTTGCAAAATATATATTTTTAAGTCTTTTCAGTTTTTTTAAAGTATTTTTTTGTAAAAACTGAAAAAAAATATTTTTTTAAAAAATGCTATAAAAACTGAAAAAAAGGAATTTGTAAAATATATATTTTTAAGTCTTTTCAGTTTTTTTTAAAGTATTTTTTTTGTAAAAACTGAAAAAAAAAATATTTTTTTTAAAAACTGAATAAAAAAGACTCCTAAAGCAGTGAACTACATATGCATTAGTTTAAAAAAAATAAAAATATTTTGTAAAATCTTTTTTTTTTCCAGTTTTTACAAAAAAAAAATACTTTAAAAAACTGAAAAATATATATTTTGCATATTCCTTTTTTTTCTTCAGTTTTTGCAGAATATATATTTTTTCAGTTTTTAAAGCATTTTTTAAAAAATTTTTTTTTTCAGTTTTTACAAAAAGAATACTTTAAAAAAACTGAAAAGACTTAAAAATATATATTTTGCGAATTTCTTTTTTTTTTCTCCAGTTTTTACAAAAACAAATTCCAGTTTTTACAAAATATATGCTTTAAAAAAACTGAATTTTAAAACGGGTCGGGTGATGTTTTTTTAAAACGGATCGGGTAAAAAAAAAAAAGAAATGGGTCGTTTTCATCTGGTGCTGACACGTGGCACTCCATCCAAAATAAGGGTATATTTGTTCCAAAGTATGACGAGAAGGGTATATATAGCCCAATAGTATAACGAGGGATATTCTTACACCATTTTCGAAAGTACATGAGTATATTTGGGTCTTTGCCGAACTTTTAAAATTTTTGTCAGGTAAGCGAGCGACAATACGTATTAAACTTAAAATTTTGCCAAGAGAACAAGTAGGGGCAAAAATGACACCGAAGTGTCCTATTTGTGCAAATCACAAATATACATTGGAAAGAAAATATTACAACTAGTTACCAATAAACACAATTTACACGATTTATACATATTCCAACTGGTTAATACCAACAAACACAATTTGCACAATTATACACATTCCAATAAAAAATTTCAACCTGTAACCAAAATCTCTCAAACCCAGTGAAAATCACAATTCTGGAAGAGTCTGTTAAATATTGACGAAGATCAAAAGTATTCTTTTTTGACTAACTTAAAGAACAAAATTAGTGCTCAAAACTATATTTAAGATATTATTTTAAAACCTACTCCAAAACATATGGGACCATTTTTTGTTATTTTTTCTATCTCATGTCATCAACCCCACCAACGTTTTTACCAAGAAAATATGAAGAGATACTCATACACTTAATAATAGATTCGATTTTAATTAATAATCTACTAATACACTCTTCATGAATAAGAGCAGGAACCAGCTTTAATCAAAAATAACAAACCCAAAACCATGTAACAAAAAAAAAATAGAATAAGTGATCCTTTATTACCAAATATTAAACTAAACTTCGTAAGCTAATTTGGCTACAAGACGCTCCAAATAATCAGGAGCGGAACTAAAGTATTAGGCACGAGTTCAGACGAATCAATTTTTGCTTAGACCATGTATTTGTAATAGAAAATTTATTACATATGTATAAATATTTAACTGCAAACCCAAAAACTAAGACGAGCTACAACAACAACAACATAACCACTATATTCCCACAAGTGGGGTCTGGAGAAACTAAGACGAGCTATTCGGGGATAAGTTTAGAGCTCCTAAACTTCAAATTTTCGCTCCGTCTCTGTCTACAACTTGTGTAGAATTAGCTGAGCGCCATGTTGAGGTTGAAGAGTTAGCACAGAATAAGGAACATGAGCATAAGATGGAGAAACATCAAAAGCATAGTGTTGTAGAATCATAGCAAGTGCCATTTTGGCCTGTAACATAGCAAAGTGTTGTCCAATGCAGATTCTTGGTCCCCAACTAAATGGGAAGTATGCAAACTTCCCTTTTGTTGCTTTGTTTACTCCTTCACTAAACCTCTCTGGATTGAACTCTTTAACATCTTCACCCCATATTTCTTGGTCATGATGCAACATTATTGTTGGTAATAGGAGTTGCACTCCACCTGGTAGTGATAAGTTTCCTAATTTGGTTTCTTTATGTACCTCTCGACCCATCAAAAGAAGTGGTGGATATAATAAATATACAATAAGTAAATGAGTTCAGAATCAAATATTTATGGATATTTAGTGAATTTTGTAATATATATACAGGGTGTATACAAAAACTACTGGGTTCCTGGGAACCCGCATGTAATAGGCTGGATCTGCCCCTGGTGACAGTATAAATAAATCTTTATACGATTAGTATCATGTTATCTAAAAGGTAAATTAGTAACTAGAAAATAAGGTAGGAAAAATGTTAAATTACACTGATAATATAAAAATTTGTTAATTTACACGGTTAGTGGACATAAGTTAAATTCTTCTTGAAAAGATACAGGTAGGTATCCGCCTAATGACACCGGGTGTCCACCTAAACACACCAGTTCTATTTAAAGAGTTCAAATTCAATATACTGATTGTGTAAATCAGATCATTTATAAGGTTATTACAAGATCCCTATTATGGTTAAGCATTAGGAGAAATGGTGAATGACTTGATATCACACGTTTGAACTTGGTGCAGCTGGTAAGTTGTTGTCATGTGACTAGGAAGTCACGGGTTTGAGCCGTGGAAACAGCCTCCTGCAGAAATGCAGGGTAAGGCTGCGTACTATATACCCTTGTGGTCCTGCCCTTCCTCGGACCCACGCATAGCAAGAGCTTAGTGCACCGGGCTGCCCTTTTTTCCACTTGATATCACATGTTAAATTACATAGACTGTCAGTGTATTTTAACTTAATTCCTAGTGTTTATAAGAATAGAAAAGAAAATTATACAAAAACCTTCAAACTTAGTGGATAGATACATAGGATTATGCACTTACAACTTTGAGTTGATTCAGCATGTCATAGTCAGGTCTGTTGTTGCCAAAGACTTGAAGAACCTCTTCTCTAGCACGAGCTTGCCAATCGGAGTGTTTGCTTAGTACAATCATTGACCATGTAAGCAATGCTGAAGTTGTCTCTTGTCCAGCAAAATAAAACAACTTACACTCTTCAATTACCTCATCCAAACTCATTCCAAATTTCTTATTTCCATGTTCCTGAATTTCTTTCAAGTTGGAATCCAACAATATACCCAATAAGTCATCATTATTAAAAGCTTCCCTTGCTTCAATTGCATCCATTCTTTTATTGATAATTCCCAACACAAGTGATCTTACTTCCTGATATATTTGTTTCATCCTTCTGTTCTCTTTGGTCGGCAGAAACCTATAATTCAGAAATGAGTTTAGTTCTATGCGCTGATGGTGTAACATATAAGGTAACGACAACTCTGATATTTGGCAACCCGCTAAAAATGGGAACATGCCTACTATAATAGGTTAAATTACACGATGATGTAAAATTATTTTTCAGCTGTCAAAGTATATAACTTACATCCTTCCGAAAATAACATCCAATCACGACAAAAATAAATTCAACTTTTTTATGTATTAAACAATACTTGGAGGAAGAATATGAAGGTAACTTACATAATGTAACTTGACTCTGTCACTTTTAAGATAATTTTGGCTAGTTCTTGTTGAAGTTCAAATATCTTTCTTCCTTCTTCATAGCTACTGCCAAATGCAGTTCTTGAAATGGCATCACTTGTTAAACTTTGAAGATATGGCCACACATCTACCTCTGATCCTTCTGCAGAGGCAACTTTTTCCCATTCGCTCAACATCTCACAAGTACTCAAATGGAATGAAGGTATCATATGCTGTATATTATATTAACATTTAAACAACCACAATCAGTATATTAGAGTTTGCATACTGTAAAGGTAAAAATCAATAGGATTTTCTTATATATACTGTATAGAAATTTTTTACCCTATCCGTGTATATTAAGTCTAGCTCAGTCGGTAGAGTGCAAGGCTCTTAAACTTGTGGCCATGGGTTCGAGCCCCATGGTGGGCGTTAGCACTTTATGAAAGGGAGCCTTGGAACAACGGTAAAGTTGTCTTTGTGTGACCTGTAGGTCATGGGTTCGAGCAATGGAATCAGCCACTGATGCTTGCGTAAGGGTATGCTGCCTACATTACACACACCCTTAGGGAAGCACCCCTTAGGGTGTGGTACTTTCCTGGACCCTGCCTGAATGCAGGATGCCCTTTTATCAGTGCATATTAACATGTTATACATAGCAGGTTACTATTCTCACTTATTACCGTCAATATATAGAAGTTAAATCCTAGAGCCTTAAGCAACTATATCGAGTTTAGAGATACCTTCAACTTGTCTAGGTGAAAAGCAGGATTGAGGATTCTTCTGTGCTTAGCCCATTTATCTGCTTCATAGCTCAAGATTCCTTCTACTAGCAACTTTGTGTGTGCAGTAGGAGGAGGCTTCTGGAAAATATTACTCTTTGACAAGATTTCCCTTATAAGTTCTGGGTCCGTGATGAGCATTGCAGGAGTTGGCCACAACCATATAAAAGAATTCTTACCTACAATTAAGATGCTATAATTTCACTATTGATAAAAACTATTGAGATGGCATATAAATATCTCACTCCAAACAAAATCGCGCAGTGACGTTTGTTATGTTACAGATCTTAAAAAAAGTAATTAACGTGTCTTTAACAATTTAAGCGTTCAGAACTTCAGATTAATCAGTTCACGTAATGTAATAAGCTATTTGTTCTGTCCACAAGTTCCATTGCCACCAATCTATGAAATATTTTCATGTATTTGCCCGTGGTGGGTGGAGGATTTTCACCAAGGGACAACAACAACAACAACAACAACTTACCCAGTATTATCCCACACCGTGGGGTCTGGGGAGGGTAGTGTGTACGCAAATCTTACCCTTACCTTGTGAGGAAAGAGGGATTGTTTCCAATAGACTCTCGGCTCAGGAATAACACGCGAAGGGAATTCAAAAAATAATAAAAGTATAGCATGTGAAGAAGCCTAGAGGATTCAACATCTAATATATATAATGATCTTATATACGCAGTGTAATATTTTGACAAAAGATCCCCTCCGCCCCTTGCTCCGCCCAAGATATTTGCTCAGTAAGAAGTGTCATGTCAATATGTGCAGGGGCGAGCTACATGGTCCAACGTTTGATTTCCCTTCGTCGAAAAAATATTCTATTCAAATAATGTAAAAATAAAATTTCTTAGATATGTATAAATTGTTGAATCCTCTTGGCGTAGGAGAAACTTTTTGTGTAGTGAACGGAAATCTTAGACGTGGCATTCTTGGATATTTTTTTCCCTTTGAATCCTTTTGTTAGAATTCCTGATTCCGCCACTGCAAATATACGCACTTGAGGAATTCACACAGAGTCAACAGGTTATACTCCTTATACTGACTTTCCACGTATATAAAATGGAAGGGAAAAATAGCCACACAAAAAAAGCATAATGAATGAGAAGGTGCATATGTATTAGGGAATTATATTCACCTTACCGTAATCGATGATGGTTTTGTGGATAAAGGGCATGATTCTAGGCACAATATCATGGGAGAATTTGATAGGCTTGGACTTAGCTTCTTCATCCATCATCACAACTTCTTTCATGTCTCCATACAACAGCTTGTAAGAGTTTCCCCTGAAACCCAACTCTTTGAGGCATTTCTCCAAACACTTTGGCTGCAACCACAGCCAATTCATGAATCTCCAACCACATCTCAAAAGAATAATTATTATGACAAAGGAGATTGCTAGTGAAATATTGTATAGCATCTTTGTTTCTTTCTGTGATAGAGAGTGGAGAAATGGGCTTGGAAAATCTTGTATTTATATGCATTTCTTTGGGCAAAAGGAGAGTTGCAAAGCAAGCTTATCATTGAGAAATATTAGAAGAGTCAAAGGTATCTAGATAGCTTTATAAGAAGCATATGACAAAGGTGATTGCTAGTGATCTTGTCTGCCAAGAAAAATCAAACTTTTCGTCTTCCATTACTAACTTTTTTGTATATGTTAAGCCTCATTTGAAATATAACAATGACAACAAATTTAGGGGAGTGTACAAGCTAGGTTTGTAGCGTGTACGCATGTCTTACTCCTAGGTCTATAGTATGTGTGTAAGCATGTGTTACAACTATACTTGGGAGGTAGAAATATTGTTTCCGATCAACCATCGGCTCAACAAGATAAAAAGCAATAGTAGAAACAAGCAACATCAACTACAAAAGCCAAAAAGATAATAACTGCAATTTAAGAACTAGAAAAATAGACGAAAGGAAGCAATATCAACAAACAATAATAACAACAAGAAAAAAAAAATAACAACAATATACTAGAAAACCTAAGCATAAGATTATAGGAAAACAACATCTAATACTAGCAATTTAAGAACAAGACATCAGACTAACCCTAAAAATCATAGATACGGAATAGAAAAATGCTCGACTACCTACTAATCTTCTACCCTAATTCTCGACGTTCACACCATCAAAGGCCATGTCATTTGTAAGTTGAAGTCGTCGTATGTTCTGTTCTGCCTGATCATGTCTCCTCAGTACGTCTTTGGCCGCCCTTTACCTCTTCTCATATCCACCCAAACCAACCGCTCGCAACTCTTTGATGGGCATCTAAGCTTCTCCTCTTTATATGCCCGAACCATTTAAGCCTCGCTTCCTGCATCTTATCTTCTATGGGAGCCACACGCACCTATATCCCGATTATCCAACTTAGTATGCCCGAACATCCATCTCAACATTCTTATTTCTGCAACTTTCATATTCTGGATATGAGTGTTTTTGACTGACCAACCTTCTGCCCCATACAATATGGTCTAATCACCACTCCGTAAAACTTACATTTATTCTACATTTTATGTACAATTTTTATTAATTGTAACACTAAAAAGACCAAAGAGCTAAAGTCGCAACGTTTAATTGATTGAACGGGGAATGAACCTCATCAATAAAAATATAATGATCACTTACTAAACAAATAAACAAATTTATCCATAATTTTAGTTTTGAAAATAAAATTGATAAATTCGTGTATATTGTCTAAAGCAATAATAAAAAAATTATTACATCAAGGGAAAGGTGGGGTGGGGGTGGGGATAGGACACAGTAAGAACATTAATTATATTAAATTTAACTGTAGTGTGTTATGAATATATTATATTATGGATGTTCATTTAGTACTCCGTTGTAAATAAGCTTCCTAAAGAAGTTTATCCATATGAGACTCCGCCATAAATACATTTATCTATTTAGTACTCTATTGGAAATAAGCCTCCTGAAGAAGCTTATCCTTTTGGTACTCCGTTATGGATAAATATTACCCATGATAGAAGATTATCTATATCTGGCACAACAGTTTAGAGTAGCAGCTTACAAACAGCTTACACAGCAGCTTGCAGCAGCAGCTTACAAGCAGCTTGCAGTAGCAGCTTATACAGCAGCTCGCAGTAGCAGCTTACACAGCAGCTTCCTCTCTTCTATAAATAGAGGAGAATTCAGTTTATTATGTATAGAAGTTTGAAGTTTGAATAATATATCAATTTCTCTCTATACTTGTCTTTACTTTACAGTCTTTATTTTATAACACGTTATCAGCACGAGACTCTGCCATCTCGAGAAAATACTTTGAAAGTATCAGAGGTACGAACTTTCTTTTTCTAAATAATGTCAAATCTTTCTAAACTTGAGTTTGTAGCCCTGGATATATCGGGCAAAAGCTACATGTCTTGGGTGCTTGATGCCGAAATTCATCTTGATGCGATGGGTCTGGCAAACACCATCAAAGATAAAAATCAGGCATCAAACCAAGACCGTGCCAAAGCAATGATATTCCTACGCCATCACCTTGATGAGGGCCTGAAAATGGAATATCTTACTGTTAAAGATCCAGTCATACTGTGGAGTAATTTGAAAGATAGATATGACCACCTGAAGATGGCCATTCTTCCACAGGCACGTTATGATTGGACTCATCTAAGATTACAAGATTTTAAATCTATCAGTGAGTATAATTCTACTATGTTCAGAATTATTTCCTAATTGAAACTATATGGTGATAATATTACTGATCATGATATGTTAGAGAAAACTTTCACCACTTTTCATGCCTCGAATATGCTCCTGCAGCAGCAATATCGAGAGATGGGATTTAAAAAGTATTCTGAACTTATCTCACATCTTCTTATAGCAGAGCAACATAATGGGCTATTAATGAAAAATCATGAAAGCCGACCTATTGGTTCTTGTCCATTCCCTGAAGTGAATGAGACGAACTTCCACCAAGCTAAACGTGGAAGAGGTCGTGGCCCCAGTCGTGGTCATGGCCGTGGTCGGGGAAGAAACCCCAATCATGGTAATAATAATGCACCAAAGAAGCCTCCTCACCACCAGCAGTGGAAAAGGAAGGAACAAAAGCATGAAGCGGTGCAAGCGCCAAATGCAGAAAATGCATGCTATAGATGTGGAGGAAAAGGGCACTGGTCACGTACCTGTCGTACGCCAAAGCACCTGGTTGAGCTTTATCAAGCCTCCCTGAAGAAGACAGAGAAAAATGCTGAAGCAAATTTTATTTCTGAAGATAATTTAGACTTCATGCATTTGGATGTAGCTGATTACTTTGCACTCCTAGAAGGAGAAACAAGTCATGTAATCGGTAGTGAATCTGTAGAAATGTAAATATTTTAATTTTTGTTGTTTGTAGTAGATAGTATGGTTATGTAATTGTTGTACATAAATAAAAGTTATGCTTTGATAATAATGTTTACTATCATATTTATTTTGTTTATGTCATTTTGAAGAATATGGATAATCCTCAAATTATGTTTGGATCAAAGACCAATCATGAAGATATTTGTGTAGTTGATAGTGGAACAACTCATGCCATATTCAAAGATCAGAAATACTTTTCTTATTTGCATAAGGAAAAAGTAAATGTTTCTACAATTTCTGGTAATATAAGTTTGATCGAAGGCTCCGGAAGAGCTATTGTATTTTTGTCTAAGGGAACAAAATTTATTATCGACAATGCATTGTACTCCTCCAAGTCCCGAAGAAACTTGTTGAGTTTTATAGATATCCGCCGAAATGGGTATCATGTTGAGACAATAGATGAAATGAATGTGGAATATCTTTGTATTACAAAGAATATTTCTGGCCAGAAATGCATTGTAGAAAAGTTACCAACTTTATCTTCTGGCTTATACTATTCAAAAATTAGTACAATTGAAGCACACTCTATCATAAACCAGAAGTTTACGGATTCAAATACTTTTGTGCTTTGGCATGGCCGTTTGGGCCATCCCGGATCAATAATGATGAGACGAATTACTGAAAATTCGAGTGGGCATCCATTAAAGAACTTGAAGATTCTTACAAATGACGAATTTTCTTGTGATACTTGTTATCAAGGAAAAATGATCACTAGACCATCACCAATGAAGGTTGGTATTGAATCCCCTGCCTTTTTAGAGCGTATACATGGGGATATATGTGGACCTATTCACCCACCAAGTGGGTTGTTTAGATATTTTATGGTCCTAATAGATGCATCTTCAAGATGGTCTCATGTGTGCCTACTATCATCTCGCAACCTGGCGTTTGCAAAGCTATTAGCCCAAATAATTCGATTAAGGGCACAATTCCCAGATTATCCTATAAAGGCTATTCGCCGTGATAATGCTGGAGAATTCTCATCTCAAGCTTTTGATTATTATTGTCTATCAGTTGGGATAAAAGTTGAACATCTGGTAGCTTATGTTCATACTCAAAATGGCCTTGCAGAGTCATTTATTAAACGACTGCAATTGATAGCAAGACCACTACTTATAAAAATAAAATTGTCCACTACTGGTTGGGGTCATGCTATCTTGCACGCAACATCACTTATCCGTCTCAGACCAACACATTATAATAAATATTCTCCGTCATAATTAGTTTTTGGTCATGAACCAAATATTGCCCATCTACGAATTTTTGGATGTGTTGTATATGTGCCAGTAGCACCACCGCAGCGCAGTAAGATGGGCCGCCAAAGAAGGTTAGGAATATATATTAGGTTTGAATCACCCTCTATTATTCGCTATCTTAAACCATTGACAGGAGATTTATTTACTGCTCGATTTGCAGATTGTCGATTTGATGAAACAAATTTCCNTCAGATTACAAAGATCTTTGTACGGTTTAAAACAATCTGGGCGCATGTGATATAATAGCCTCAGTGAATATTTGTTGAAAGAGGGTTACATAAATGATGTCATTTGTCCATGTATTTTTATAAA